TTACCTGGTGGTATCCATTCCGTTATAACTCTTAACAGATTGGTCTTCTCTCTTCTCATTGTATGTCCATCTAATTCTTTATACTCTTATTGCTCTAACTATGTTCTCTTGACCCATCCAGTCTTGTATTTCGTGATTCGTCCATTGTCTTGCATCCTCTTCGCTTTCCTCCTTTGGCCCCAGTATTTTTCTGATAATCTTTCTCTCAAAAATTTTTGAATTGCTCTTCTTTTCTTGCTGTTAATGTAAATGTTTTTGCAGCATCTACTAATACTATTGGTCTTATGGTCGTTTTGTAAAGTTTCATTTTTGTGTTTCGGCTTATCTTATCTCTAAGTATTTTTTTATTTCTATAAAATGCTGTATTTCCCGCTTGAATTCTTCTTTTTATATCTACACTTTCATTTCTTCTGCTGACTAGTACTCCCAAATATTTGAATGTTTCAACCTCTTCGAAACTGTATGCATCTATTATTAGTTTTGTCATTGTCTTCTTTTTCTTGCTTACGTTAATGTATTGTATTTTATTTTCATTTATTTCCAGTCCTTGCAGTTGGGCTTGCTTTTCTATTTCTTGGAAGGTTTTTTCAATGCCTTTTTATCTGTTTGACAGCTTTTCATTATCTTGTCTAGTGATAGAATAAATAGTACTGTTGAGAGCGCATCTCCTTGTTTTACTCCATTTTTTACTTTTAATATTTCTGTTCTTTCTCTTCCGGTGCCTAATATTGCTTGGGAATCTAGCATTGTCATTTCTATCATTCTTATAATTTTATTTGGTAGGTATATTATTTTTTTGTAAGTGTTGGATCATTCTTCTTCTGTTACGTTTGTCAAACGTCTGTCTAGGAAAAGTATGTGTTTCTTCCTGGTGTTCGTATGTTTTCTCTATCACTTGTTTAGCGTATGTATAGCGTATATCGTGGATCTTTATTTTCTAAAACCGTACTGGTAATCCACTATGTGGATTACCAGTACCTACTTTACCTTTCAGTAAATTAATTGCTCGGTAGTTTTGCATATTCTATGGTCTCCTTGTTTTGGGATTGTCACTATAATTCCCTTCTTCCATTGTTCGGGCGTTATTTCTTTGCTCCATATATTCTAGTATTAGTTCATGAATCTGTCTGTATAGTGCCTCTCCACCGTATTTTGTAAGTTCTGCACATATTTCGTATTCTTCCTCTGTTTTTACCGTTTTTAAATTTGCATATTTTCTCTTTCACTTCTGTATAGGTCAATTCTCCTTCTTTATCTTGTTCTGTGTTCGTTATTGTTTCATTTTGTTCTTCTCTATTCATTTCTTGATATATTTCTTCGCATTACTTCTGCTATTTTTCTGCTTCTATAGTTATATTAGCTGTTTGTTTTTGGTTACGTAGTTTTAAATATTGTTACAATGGTTTTAAGTTGTGTCTTTCATTGTCTGTTTTTGTCTTGTTCATGATTTCATCTACTTTTTTATTTTCTTTTCGATTTAAATAATTTATTTGTCTTTTATCTTTGATCTTTGTATTTTTCTCGTTCCTCTTCTTTGCTTGTGCTTAACCATTTCAATCTTGTTTTATTCTTTTCTTCTACTGCTACTTTACACTCATCGTTAAACCAATAATTTCTCCTTTTATTTGCATAACGTCAACCACTTTTCTGCTGCATTGATTATTCCTTGTTTGATTTTTTTACTGTTCCTCTATTTGTTGTTCTTTGAACTGCATCTCTGTATTTACTTTTTGTTCAAATCTTCTTCTTACTTCTTTCTCTTTTATTTTATCTACATCTCATTTTTTCTGTGCTTTTCGCCTTTCAGTTTTCGTTGTTTTTATTTTACATTTTGTAATCACTAGCATATGGTCCGAATCGATGTTGACCCCTCTGTACGATCTAATATCATTTATTGATTGTTTGTGTGTCTTTTTATTCAGAACATGATCTATTCGATTTTCCTCCACACTTACTGCTCTCATTTACGTTATTTTGTGTATGTCTTTGTGTTTACATCTCGTGCTACTTATGACCATATTTAATTCCTACTGCTAAATTACATATCCTTTCTCCTCTATTGTTTTTTGTGTAATGTATTAAGTTTGCACCTGCAACCTCTCTGAAGCAATTTTCTTTGACTATTTTGTCGTTGAAATCTCCTATAGGGATTAATATATCTTTTTCCGGGATTTTCTCGGCGTTTGCTTCTACTGCTTCATAGAACTACTGTTTTGTTAAGTCATCACTGTTTTCTGTGAGTGCATGGACATTTATTATGGACAACTTGTTCGGTTTGATGTTTGCTCTTATGTATAATATTCTTATAATTCGTATATATATTCGTTCTAAATTTCATAAAGTTATGTCTCATGTCTCCTATCACTATAAAAGCGTCCATATCCTCCTCCTTTCTGCATATTCCTGTTTTTCTTCTCCTGATACTGTATAATTTTCCGTTTCGATTTTTTCATGTCCCCCCATTCGGTTTTCTGAATTCCTACAAGATCTATCTTGTATTGTTTTAACTGCATCGCTAGTTTTTCCACTTTGATTTCATGTAATCAACTGAAATATCTTTCAATAGAGTCGTCCCAGGAACGCAACTCAACAAATTTTCAGGCTATAGAAGTTTGCAGAAATAATAATGATACCCAAATGAGGTAAACTTCTCCAACAATATAATATTATTGCATCAATTTAGATTGCAGAACTCGCCACTCATCATTCAACTATTGATCTAATAAATAAGCTAGCTAATATTATAGACGAATCTCTAGAGGAAAAAATGTCAAACTAAATTTCTTCTTCTGTCTTTCGTATTTTTAATTTACACACGCAATATGAGTACTAGAAATAAGTTCGCGATGGGTTATTGCCTAGATACGTTGACGTTATATGTAAGGCAATTTTTAAATTCCTTATGTCAGTTCATTTATTGTCTATTCTAAGTTCTATTGATTTTTAATAGATGTTGCTATAGCTTCTGGTGCACATTATTTTTAAAATAATTGCTAATATGACATAAAGATTCTGTTTCATCCAGAGCTTAATACAAGTTTACTCTTCTTCTTTAAGTGCCTCTCCATCGTGTACCTCAATCCTTAGATCTGCTGCTTAAGGTTCTATAGACTGCATTGGATACCCTTCTTCATTCTTCAACATGACTCTCTTCTCCTATTCTCCTCTTATCTTTCCCTATATTATTGACCTTAGCAGTTCATATAGCTGTCCCCTTATTACGTTTCCCAGATATTGTAACTTTCTTATTTTTATCGTTTTTATTTCACATCTTGCCATTTCTCGCAATACTTCCGTGTTAGTTTTCTGCTGTGTCCATGCTATTCTAAACATCCTCTTGTTACACCACATTTCAAAGGACTGTAACTTATTTATGTGATTCTTGCTTCAATGTCCAGTTTTTAAGTCCATATTGCAGTATCGAAAACATCGTAGCATCTCAGTGCTCTTACTCTCAGTTCTAATCTAAGATCTTTCTTGCAGAGAACTGTTTTCATTTTTAGAAATTCATTTCTTGCTATTTCTATCCTGGCTCTTATTTCGGTTGTTTGATCATTATTGTCTAAAATCCAGGTTCCTAGGTATTTGTATTTATCAACCCTTTCTATCGGTACATTTCCCAAATGTATGTTTGTTGGTATATTTGTTTTCTTTGTTAGTATCATGTATGTGGTCTTTTTTATATTCATTTTTAGTCCATATTTTTCACACAAACTGTTTGTTTTGTTTAGACAGTAATTGTAGTTGTTCAGCAGAGCTTGACATAATCACGGTGTCTGCACATCTTATGTTGTTAATAGATCTTTCCTTAATTATTATTCCTTCACTTTGAGATAGTAATGCCTCTTCAAAAATGGCTTCACTTCATACACTAAATAGTAATGGGGACATAATACATCCCTGCCTAACTCCTCTCCTGATTTCAATTTCTGGACTGGGTTCGTTATCTATTACGATTTGTGCTCTTTGATTCCAGTAGAGGTTTGTTATTATTCGTAAGTTCCTGTGGTCTATGTTTTTTGTCCTTAGAATTTGGACTAATTTTTTATGTCTTACTTTGTCAAATGCTTTTTCAAAATAAACGTAACAAACATGCACATCAACATTCATATCCACGCATCTTTGAGGTAACACATTAAAAGCAAATAACGCTTTTCTGGTTTCTAGTCTGTTTCTGAACCCAAACTGACCATCATCTATTCCTTCTTCTAGTTTTTTACTTATACGACCACGTATTATTTTCAGGAATAACTTGAGAATGTGACTTATTAGTGATATTGTTCTGTATTCACTGCAATATTTAGCGTTTGTATTTTTAGGGATAGCACAAAAGTAAAGAGTAACCATTGTTTCGGTATGTGTCCTGTTTCATCATTCATGCATTTTAAGATTTTTATAGGGATTTCGTCTGGACCTAATGCTTTACCATTTTTGCTGTTTTTTAATGCCATTTTAATTTCCTCTTTTAATATCCCATCTGTTCTGTTCTATTGTCTTTGAATAGTTCATTGATGTATTCTGTCCATCTATTTAATTTGTCGTTAGTATTCAACACAAGTTTCCCATTTGCATCTTTCAGTATTCCCGGTTTTCTTGTTCTATTGTTGTGAGTTATTTCTTTAATTTTTTTTATGTTTGTTGAAATTATCATGACTTTTCTGGTATTCTTCTATTTTTGCGCATTGTTCTTTTAGCCATTGTTCTTTTGCTTTTTTAATTTTGTATTTTACTCTGAGGAGTCCAAAAGGGCAAAATACCTATGAGCGAATGATGATGCTCTGTATTGACATTAAATCCTAACTGTTTTTTGAACTTAAAATATCCATTTTGTAATGTAACACTACATCTCAACGTAAAGAAAAGGCGGCAAAAATTAGTAAAACTATTTTATTAAAAACGGCAGTAACTAAAGATACATGTTTTCTTATTAATAAAAATGAATCATAAATATTTCGCTTATAGGTGTAGTCAAAATAATTGTATAATTCTTTGTATTCCAGGATCTCAAACAACAAAATCAAAAATAGTGAAGACAATTAAAAAAGCCTGTCTGCCAAAACTGATATGTGAGTTAACTGCTTCGACACAGAGAGATAAGTTAACGGATTCAGAAAAGTCATTATTAAGTTTACTTAGGTAAGTAAAGATGCTGATATTAAATATTTAATTATACCATTTGTTTGTTTTGTGTATTACAAATTTGTTTTAATTTTTAGAAGCTACAAAATTACTATATGCCGATTACTTTAAACGACCTTCGCGGAATATGTTTGATTACTGATTTAAATTTATACATATTAAAATTTAAAAAGATTAAAATAATTAAAAAAGGAAGAATGAAATTGAAAAAAGACGATGTACTGCAGATGTAGCGCAGTTTTAACGAATATTTTACTTTATTAAGGCAATTAGGCGTTGCCAGAGTTCTGTTTTATGTATTTAAGACGTTCCAGACTACATAATGAATGTCCTGTAATCAAAGAAGAATGACTACAACGACCTATTGTTGTATGTAATGAACAGATATCAGAAGAAATTGAAATTAGATGTGGAGTGAGACAGGGATGCGTATTGTCGCCAATTCTTTTCAATGCCTACTCCGAAGAGATCCTGAAAAACGCTCTTGAGGGTGTAACAGCTGGAATAAATGTAAATGGAGTTCCCATTAACAACATTAGAAATGCGGACGACACTGTAATCTTAGCCGAAAACATTGAAGATCTTCAGAGACTGGTGACCAGAATAGCAGAGTATGGAAAAGAGGATGGTCTAACAATGAATGTCAAGAAGACGAAATTTATCGAGAATATCGGAAACTTAAAGAAATAAGGAGAATCTTTTAATAAACGCAACCAAAGTCGAACAAATGGACAAATATGCATATCTGGGAACAATGATTAACTCCCCAAATGATTACATTCAGGAAATCAAAATCAGAATAGAAAAGGCTAAATCAAATTTCAACAAAATGAAAAGAGTGCTATGTACCAGAGATTTAAAACTGGAACTAAGAGTTAGGTTAGCGAGATGCTATGTTTTTTCGACTTTATTTTATGGAATGGAATCTTGGACCTTAAATGCAAAATCAATGAAAAAATTGGAATTATTCGAGCTGTGGGTGCATAGAAGAATTCTGAAACTGTCGTGAACAGAACACGTCACAAACAAAGAGGTTCTGAGAAGGATGAATAAAGAACTGAAAATTTTAAATACAATTAAAACAAGAAAATTAGAATATCTCGAACATATTACACGTGGAGAGAAATACACCTTGCTCCAACTGATGAGGCAGGAAAGATACAAGAAAGAAAAGCATAGGGAGGCGTAGAATGTCATGGCTGCGCAACCATGAGAGAGTGGTATGGATGTACATCAAATGAACTTTTCAGAGCAGCCGTCACAAAAGCCCGAATAGCTATGATGATTGCCATCATCAAAAGTGTTACATATGGGTGAACTCATATTAAATTGGAGATTCCAATAATGACTGAATATGGATGGTAATGAATTTAAAAAACCAAAGTTACTAAAAAGATAAGAGACATGGCAAATCTGACAACATTGTAAATATCAAATATGGAATCTCCGTATATCAAAATAGGTAAACCTCAAATTTTGTACAAATATGAATAGCAATTTATGAGATTATTGGCCGTTTCAAGACTTTTGGGCTACTCTGTATATACAGATACGGAACAATATTACAAATTTATAGTTAATATTACAAAATTATGGAGGTAATTAACAGAGATACTAACATTATTTCCACTTAATAGAAAGGGATGAAAATCCTATTTTCCCCCAGTGTCCCTGCACATTGCGGAACAACGTCCACAATGTAGCGATATACCGAGCGATAAACTCGAGTGTTTCCGATTGAACTTCGATTCCGACCGTTCGCAACACTGCCTGGGGGACAGGCTGTACTTGGGGGACATTTTACACAAGAAACTATTAATTTATTTATCCTAAAATACAGATACTACAATGCATTTCGCAAGGTAAAAGTGAACAAAAAAGGGCCCCAGGACGAAGAAGAATATCCTGGCCTGCTAATCTGAGAGCATGGTATAGAAAGACCAGTTGGAGATCATTCTGGCATCATAGCCAGAATGATCGCCAACGTTCGCAACGGACAGGTACAATAAGAAGAAGAGAGATAACTCCTTCATCATTCATAGGAAAATACTGCATGCGCTGTATGTTATTGGGAAAACTAGTATTTGAATGTGTCCGTGTGTACTCAGTGTCCACGAAAGTTGAACGTTTCGATTGAAATTTTGGGAATCATATTATTGGTCCATATGTTGGAATATGTTTGGAATCATATGTTGGAATATGACAGACGAGAGGGAAGAGGAACCACCAACTATTTATGAAATTAAAGATGCAGTTAAAAAACTTGCCAGAAACAAACCAAGCGGAATAGATAATCTCCCAGCTAAATTGCATAAAGAAGGTGGCCATGATACCATAATGGTATTACAACAGCTTATAAAAGAAATATGGACACAGAAATCCCTCACCTATGATTGGAATATTGGAATACTTTACACCATACCAAAAAATAGATATCTTTAAATGCTCTAACCACAGAGGAATTACGCTTCTAAATGCAGCGTATAAAATATTTTTCACAGTAATATATCACCGTATGGCACCATATGCAGAGCGCATAATAGTCCAATGATTTCGGAGGTGGTAAATCGACAATTTATACAAATCGACATCGATAAATGGTCTAAAAGTGTCCACCGAAATACAAAGATGAGAATCTATAAAACTTTAATTCGGCCAATAGCATATTATGGCAAATCAGTTGGTAAATTAAACAAAACTAACTCTTGAAAAAGTTGAATGTAGATTACGAATTCAATGAGAACTGTCCTGAAACCTTTTAAAACAGATAAGAGATATGCCAGGGAGACCCTCTCTCCTGTATACTGTTCAATCTGGCTCTGGAAAAACTAATACGTATGTCACAAATCACAACCACTGTTACAATATATAATAAATCAGTGAAAATCCTGGCCTATGCCAGTAGTCGGCAACCTTTTGAGTTGGAAGAGCCAAAAATTTACAAAATTTTAAATTTAAAATTTTAATAAAGTTTTTAAAGAGACACTTTTTTTGTCAACAATAAATAGTACTCGCATAAATAAAGTTCTTTGATAAACAAATTATTCTGTATATAATGTTTTTCACATATATATTTTCATATTTTTCATTTATTGAAGTAAAAAATAAAAACAACTTAATATTGGGCCAAAGAAATGATAGAGGAGAAATACTGGTCCAATTTTGCCAAGAAGAAAATCTAATGATCATAAACACCTGGTTTAAACAATCAAAAAGAATATTTATATATTAATTGACAAACGTTACGGAAATGGAATCAGAAGGATTAAAACATATCCCGGGCGGACATCGGTTCCGACCACAATCCTGTTGTTGGTAAAATTTCAATTAAACTAAAGAAAAACAAATACAAAGAGAAGACAAAACTTAGCCTCAAAAAACTTCCAATCCAATCCAGATCCAATAGTACAGGCAGAAATAGAGAAAACACTCAAAGAAAAGTTCAGTGAGGCACCCGCAGAAGCAGAAGAAACAATAGAAAGTATTTGGCACACCTTAAAACAACAATCACAACTATACAAAGAGAACAACTACAAGACATCAAAAAAAGAAAGAATATATAAATAACAGAAGACGTCCTAGAACTGATGGACATAAGGAGATCTTACAAAAATCGCAATGAAGAAAAATATAAAGAAACCCAGAAAATTATCCGAAACAAAATCAGGAAAACCAAAGAAGAATGGATGAGCAGCAACTGTGAAGAACAGGAAAATTTACTATAAAAGCATGACTACTTTAATGTATACAAAAATATTAAGGAAGTTACAAATAAGAAGAAAAAAATTACTATAACTTTAGTAGATGATAACAACCAAATAGTATCTAGTCTCAAAAATTTAGGAGATGTGTGGAAAAAATACATCAAAGATCTCTCATCTGATGATGAGAAACAGAACCAGAAATAAATCTCTCTCTCTCTTGTCGTTTCCTCATTGCTGAGGATCGTGATTCCCTACAATGCGGGCTGTCAATTCTCTCCATCTCTTGCGATTTTGGGCTGCTCTCATGGACTCGGAAAACGTCTCTCCAGTGGCTTTCTGTACTTGATCTGACCATCGAATAGGTGAGCGTCCTCGGCCTCTACGTCCTTCTACGTTTCCGCACACAATTAGTCTTTCTAAGTTGTCATTGTCTCTTCTCGCAATGTGACCAAAAAACTTTAAAACATTGCAAGACACTAAGAGGAGAGTCTGGTCTGAATGTTTAGCTCTTCGAGAATCGACTGATTGGATCTGTGCTCCGTCCACGAGACGCGTAGCATTCGTCTCCAGCACCACATTTCGAATGCGTCAATCCTTTTCCTATCCTCTGATTTTATTGTCCATGTTTCGGCACCGTAACTAAAGATTGAAAAAACGAGTGTCCGTACCAGTCTCATTTTGAGTTTTTTGGACAAAGAGCGGTCCTTCCAATTTTTTGACAGTCGACTCATCGCGTTCTTGGCCATTCCTATTCTTCTGCGAATTTCCGTATGGCAGGAGGCTGCATTGCTTAAGGAAGATCCTAGATACGTGAACTCGTGTACTTTCTCGAATTGATTTAGGGCGCCTGTTGTTTGGAGGATATTCGCGTGGTCCACAATCATGATTTTTGTTTTCTGATTATTAATCTTGAGCCCACACATGTTTGCTTTCGGTTTCTACTCTCTTTATCAGTCTCGACATCTCCTCTTCAGATGTTGCTATCAGTGTTGTATCGTCTGCGAATCTTAAGTTTGAGATCTTTTTCCCTGCAATGGAGATGCCGCCTCTCCATCCATCGAGTGCGTTCCTCATTATGTATTCTCCATATAAATTGAACAGGTCTGGAATAGTATGCAGCCTTGTCGTACACCTCTGCTGTTTTGAAGGTATCAGATTGCTGGTTTTCAATTCTTATTTTAACTGAGTTATCTTCGTATAAGTTTTTAATTAATATTGCCAAATGATCTGGAACTCCCATCTCATGAAGAACTGTCCGGAGAACTTCCCACTTTACACAATCAAATGCCTTTT